CCCTTGATTCCTCCCCCTCTGTGCCCAGTCCTCACCCCCCTCCCATCCCTGGCAAAAAAAAAACCTGGGGACAGAGCAAGTCAAGGGTGGCCCCAAGGTCTGGTTTTTAAAGCTACAAGATAAGCAGCCCCATCACATCTACCTCCCCTTCGCCACGGTGACCGTTTCCCATCCCCGTTCTCCCGGACCAAGATTCTGCAGCCGGAGTCGCAGCACTGGGGGCCCGGGCTCAGCACTTGCTGTAAACCAGGCCCTTTTGCCATGTCTCTAGCAGGGCGTGTCAAGTCTTCAGGTGCTTGCGGAAGCCTGGGCCTGGCTTTGGAACTCAGCTCCCACTGTCCCCAGCACCATTTGCTTCCACTCGAGCCATGTTCACGAGATACAGATTATGAACTGGCCACGCCCCTTTAGAGTTCCTTTTCCAACAACCCTCTTCCCCGCCCCGCTATGGCCTTGGGTCCCTAGTGTTGCAAGTTGTTCTGCGGAGGCAGCTCAAGGCGGCCTCAGTCACTGGGGATCCATTTCATAGAATTCTAGGACTGGAAGGGACTTCGAGAGGTCGTCGAGTCCAGTCCCTTGCCCGTACGGCAGCACCAAGCATCCTCTAGACCTTTTGCAGGATCGGGGTGTAAATCCCCCCCCCCATTCCCATCTCTCATCCCTGCTCACAACAAGGGTCCAAAAAAGTCTAAATTCATGGAGGATAGGCCCAGGAATGACAATTAGCTCTGGGTGGGCCTAAATCCCTGACTATACATAGTCCACCTACCTTCTCAGCCCCATGTCTCTGGTTTCCTACACAGGCAGCCCCAAATGCATTCGCTGTGGCTGAAAAGAGAGGCCTTCGTCAAGACCTGCTGAGGTTCAGACCCTGCACAGCTCAATGTTGCGAGCGCTGGAGCGACGGCACTGCACTTGAACTCGGGGGCTTCGGGGGTCTCATCCCTGCTCTGCCTTTGAGCTTGGTTTAAGTGCGTTACTTCTCTGTGCCTCCTCTGGCGAGGCTGTGAAAGGCGTCTGGGACGGAGTCGGCCTTTGCAATGGGTTTGTACAGCACCTAGCGCAGTGGCCCCCCAACTGTGTGGCACCTCCTGGGGGCGGGTCGTGGAGGAACGTGGAGGGGGTGGCAGAGCCTGGGACAGATCCAACTGGGGGTGTAGGGAGGGATTTGCCATTCAGCCCTGTTCTACCCCCAGCTGGCTCATGGCCGTGGTCCAACGACAGCCTTGCTGTCCCAGCCACGGCCCCAGCTGCAGCTCTGGCCCTGGTCCCCTCCCAGCCACGGCTCTCTTCCCTGCTGTGGCCCCCACCTCCTGCCCCCAACAGTGAGCCCACGTCCCACCACTCCTAGTCCTAGCGCCAACCGCTGCCACGCCTGGTTCCATTCCTGGACAGAGCTCTGTTGTGCTTATGAGAAGAACTCTGGATTCTTCCAGGGGGAAAGGCGGGCGGACAGACAGACAGACACACACCCCTCCCTGCTGACCAGTCTGTCATGGCTGAAATCAGTCTTATTGGCCAGGCGAGACTGACTGAGTGAGGAGTCGGGGTTTGTCCATCAGAATTCGAGGCTTCTCTGAGGCTTGGCTTGCAGGACTGAGCCCAGAGCCCCCCATTTGATGCTTGTGAGATCCCCTTGGACTCTGTGGGGTTTGCAGTGTCCTGCTGC